TGACCAAGTCCAGCTTTTCTCTTCCCTGCACAAGGTCCCAGCCTGGTGTTGGGCACAGAGCTGCAGCTAGGAGAGGCATGAAGGTATCTCACTGCTGTGCTAAATCACATCTTCTCAGTTTTAGGAGCATGTATAACAGATGCCACTAATTATTAGGCTGATTTGCACTAGCTGATGAAACAGGTTTAATATGCTGAGTATCTGCTTGTATTTACAGTACCCTTTCTTTTGCCTATTACACTGTTGTTAAAAGACCTGAAAGTAAATATGAACGATTGTCTTTGGATTCTTCCTAAACAGAGAGAAATCAGTGCCCTTACAATCTGGCCAAGATAAAAACTGAAAAGCCTTAGTAATTTAAGCTAACAAGAATTTGATAATATACATTTTATTTTTCCTGACAAAACATTAAAGATTTAGATCAAAGAGAAAGAAACTATTTTATTTCAGTGTTGTTACCTGTAAAATTAATGCTGTCATGATTAACTACAGTGCAGTACTTCAACAGCTGCCAAGGAGAACTGAAAAAAAAAAATTAGATATATTAAAAGCAAAAAACCAATAATCTTGTATACACACAGTACATGTGTGGTGGCAGATTAGAAAAAAAGCTCAAATAGCATTTACAGCTGTTTGGTTGAGGGCCATTATGTATTTAGCCTAAGTCTTTAGATGCTAACCTGGGTATTTCTTAATGATTGTTTTACTGATGAGATATAATGATGGCTTTCATTTCTTATTCTCATCAGAATCAAAAACCTTTTTGATAAATGATAGTGTACCCATAAACTGCAGGTGTGGAGAAACAAAACAAAACAAAACAAGATCTTCATAAGTAAAAAATCAAACCCCAGTACAGCTTTTGAGCCTTAAAAACAGAAACTAATCTAATCATGTTAAAAGAACTGTATATGTATGCTGAGTTTCAGTCAATATGACTGATTACCTGTCACTTACTCAACTTGGATTTCTTCCCACTGTGCGCTTTGGAAACACGTTTGGTTTAGAAACTCTGAGGCAGTGTGTATGAGCTGTTAGCTCACCTCCAGCTCTGTTTCCTGAATGCTTTTAGGGCTGAGTAATAAGCCCTATCAGTCATTTCAGCCTAAAAGCTTCAACAGCATCTACACTCATGTATTTTTATCATCTTCATTGATGCCACTCAATGTGAAACTCCGAGGAAGACGACTTTGAGTCACATAAAGACTACATAAGCTTTATAAAGGAAAAGCTGAATGCTTATGTTAAGCTGCGTAGTCACTGGACTTCCTCTATTTTTGGAGTCTGGGTTGAATTTTAAGTGTAATTTAAGTGCAGAGTGTTGCATAAATTAAGAATGTCAACTGGCACATGACTTTCGGCCTTAAAAATATAATCTTGTGTTTTTTTCTTTCATAAAATCACACTTGCAACAGTGAAAGAACTTGACCAGACAATATGCATTGCTGCTAGCTTTCCTATATATGAAAATATTCTAACCTGCATACAATATACATGACTGAAATCAGCAAATGTGTAACTAGCTACAGAGTCCAGTTTTGTAGTGCAGTCTGAGGGAAGTAGGGGCTTGCTCCTTTGATACATCCCATATGACTCATCCTTTAAAAAAAAACAGCAGCAAACTTAGGAAACACACTTAAAAGAGGTTTATGCAAGTAGAAGAAAAGATTTTTGTAGGCAAACAAGTCACATGAGACAATCTACAAAATCTGACAGAACTGTTTGAGCAGCGTAACCAGCTGCTGTGTGAGTTTGTCTGAGCTGCTTGTTCCATCATTCCTAGAAGCTACAGGGAACAAGGTTTTCAGGACCTTTGGGAGTAAAAAGCTATTACTCAGGCCCATTTTAATATACCTATATGGCAAATGGAAGGAGTAGTGCATACAGGCAAAATGGACAATAAAAACTGAATAATGCTAAGCTGTCACAGCAAGTCCACAGCAAGAAGTAATGTCTTCTAGAAACAGAAAAATAAAAATCTACAAAACTGTCTTTCTGTTACTTTTTATTTGCAGCATGTATTGATCATTTCAAATGTCCTCTGAACAAAGACTACTCTCACAGGGGGAAAAAAAAGTTTTTTCATACTATACATTATATTCTCTTGAATTTTTTTGCTGAGCTGGCAACAATATGCATTATTTGTTTTCATTTATTTTGTTCAGAAAGCATGTTGTCACAGCAGCACCATTAACAGCTTCCATATGCTGTGAAGATAATGTTACAGGAGGAGGATGGCAGTGTAATTACATACTACATCTTCAGAGATGACTTTGGCAGAGTTGAAGATTACTTCAGAGTTTCAAATTAATCTGAATGACCCCATCTTTATTGCTGTTGAATTTCTGGAAGTGATGAAATGCCAAGCCATTGGAAATAACTGATAAAAGCCTAAACAATCTGAAATGAGTAATGTCGTGTTTCTTTGACTTCATCTAAGTCCCATACACTTGACATGCTCCCTAATATCTTTGATGGTGATTCTTTAGGTGATCTAAAACACTCATCTATGACAGACAGGTACAAAAGTTTATAAAATGTTTGTTTTAATGGATCTGAGTGCTTTTTAGTACACTAAGAATAGATCAAATAGGCAAAGATGGAAAAATCCATTAGCATATGCCTCTATATTTTATGTTCACCAAAACACTGGCTGTGAAGAGCAAACACTGCAGCAATGGTTTCTGTCATCCACTGTAAGTGCCTGTAAAAGACCTAGGCATCAGGGCTAGAACTATGTTGTGAGAACATAATATAAGATTCAAGTGTAGACAAAACCCTTTTGTATGTTTCCTTGGAAAAAAAAAAAATAAAACAAACCAACAAAAAAACAGTGAAATCTCAACTGCACAACCTTTAGTAGCTCAGCCAGTGAGTACTACAGAGCTATGCATGGTAATGTCCAAATGTGGATGCTGACACAAACAGACTTAGAGGAATTTTCTCTAACAAACAAAGCAAGTTTTGCCTTCAGGTATACTTTGCATACTGATGGACAGAGGGAGGAACACAAAACTCATTTTTTTCAGAGGCAATCAAACAGACAATTATATATATACCATAGCCCTAACTACTATCTCAGAAAAGAGTAAGTTTGTTCCTAATCCAGCAGTGCTAATGTCATTTTTTTTTTTTTTTTTTTCTCACCTGAAAATATTGTAAAGCTGAAAAACCTGACACAGCATGAGTAGTAAGGGGATGATGACAGGGAACAGTGTCTGCTGTTTAATTCAGCAGCTGGATGCCAAAGTCATCTATCCTTCTGTCACATGATAATACTTCCTAGAGCCTTGTTTTTGTGACATTAAGTGTGACTGAATCAGTACCAGGCAGAAATCTCTGGGAAATGTCCCTAATATGCCTCCCACCAGTCATAGATGCTTGTCCTTCTATGCTATTGAAAAAAAAGAGGTTTAAATTTGCTCCCCAGCGTTCACTTGTAGAGGCACAGAGAAGGCAATTGCCAACATTTTCCTGCATCAAAGGGGCTGCTCTGCTTGAGCTGTTGGAGGATGCCTCAGGAAAACAAAATGATGGGGCAAGCAAATTCTGGCTTTGTTGAGAGCCAGAATGAAGCAAATCAAACCTCTGGAGCACATTGGCAGCAACTCCAAGAGCTGCTGGCGCCTTTCACAGCAAAGGCTGCTGCGTGAGGAAAGGCGAGCACTACCTGCCCACTGGAGATGCTCACCACGGCGGGGCTCAGGGGCCACTGTGCAAAGGGGCAGCTCCGTGGGAGGTGGAGCTGAGCAGGGATTGCCGGGCACTGCACTAGCCATGTAATCAGCCAGCGTGTGGTGCTGTAAACTAAGGCCTGCTGCTGGTGAGGCCATTAAAGCCAAGGCTGAATCAAAGTACATTGGACCTTTTCTTCTAGTTCTTTTAACCATCTTATCTAGCATTTCTTCAACATACCTATTTCCCTGTATGAAACTATTTTATCTTCATATATCAGTAGTAATGCTTATTTTAAAAGAGATTTCTTTTAAAAAAAAACTTTTATTATCAGTAATAGTAAATAAACTGAATGTACGTGTGCAGAGTTAAAATTTATGTTTAGCACTGAAATTTTACTAAGAGCACCCTCTGGTGGCTAACACATAAACAATACTCTATGTCTTCTCCCCCTCCTCCCCCCAACAAGGGGTTGTACATATAATTATAATTCCTAATACTATGGAAATTAGTAGAATTCCTTTTTCCACTGACTTATTTCTTTTCAGCTACTGTGAAACACATAGATCTATTTCCTCAAACAAAATAAAAAATCAGATACTAAAAACTGTTAAATGCAGGAGGAGGAAAATGCTTATCACAGGATCACAAAATGTTAAGGGTTGGAAGGAGCCTCTGGAGATGATTGAGACCAAACCCCCTGCCAGAGCAGGACCATCTAGTTTAGGGGAGGTACACAGGAACACATTCAGATGGGTCTTAAAAGTCTCCAAGGTAAGAGATTCCACAACCTCCCTGGGGAGCCTGTTCCAGTGCTCTGGAACCCTGACAGTAAAGAGTTCTTCCTCATGTTGAGATGGGACTTCCTGTGCTCCAGCTTGTGACCATTGCCTCGTGTCCTATCGCAGGGTATAAGTGAGAAGAGGTTGCCCCTTTCCTTCCTGACCCCCAGCCTGCATATATTTATACACATTAATTAGATCCCCCCTAAGTCTTCTCTTCTCCAGACTAAAAAGCCCCAGGTCTCTCAGCCTCTCCTCATACGGCAGGTAAAACGTGTACTGTCTACAAGCAGAATTTAATAGGTAAAATTAAAGATAGAAATATAGATAGATATCTTAAGATGTAGAGTTGCTAAAGCTCTTATAGTTGCACTGATTCAAATTTAGAAACTAGGGGACGTTAGTGGATAGAACATACATATCTTTTTCTACTCCTCTGTTGTTTTGATATAATTTTAATTTGATGATTTACATCTGTTTATTTTGCACAGGCTCCATGGTTTTAATCAGACATAGTATGTTAATTACCAAGAAATTCCGAGAATGACTGTCTACCACTTTGTCACAGGTATCTTCCATTTAAAAGTTCCTGAGTCCTCTCACATTGGTTCTGCTATTGGAAGGATCAGAGCTGTGGACCCTGATTTTGGGAAAAATGCAGAAATTGAGTACAACATAGTTCCAGGAGATGGAGGAAACTTGTTTGACATCACAACAGATGAGAACACCCAGGAAGGAGTCATCAAACTTAAAAAGGTATGTAACACTGATGGGTTGTATATACTTATGGCTCAAGTGAGAAACCAGGTAAAAGGACTAAATGTTGTGCAATTATACCTTATACTTCACACTCAGTTTGTATCTTTATTAGAATCTATGGTTGTGACCTTAGTCTTAAAAGAAATTTGAATTCCGTGGACCATTTCATATACAATCAGGTATGACTTTTCATAAATAATGTCAGATTTAATGGCAGAGAAGTAATTCCTATCTCTGTCTAGAAAGTATGATATCTCTTTTATAGGATTTTTTCCACCTAAAACCGCATGAAAAATGCAGCAGTTCAGAGCACTGAATGAAAGAACTATTTGTGATTGTGACAGATGCGTTAAAGGACCAGATGATGTCAAGTCACTTACTCTTCTGCTAGTTTTAGTGACACAAAATGGAAACTAGGATACCCACAGGAAGTAATTTGCCAAAGAGACACAAACTCTGCTTTCTTCACCCATCCCCTTCTTTTCTGAAAAAAAAAAAAAAAAAAAAAAAAAATATGTACTGCTTCCTCCTTATATGAATTTGTAAACCTGGTTTCATTTTAAAAAGTCATCTTGATCACCTTTCCTCCTCTATGCAGGTGTCTCAAAATAAGTCCATCTAGAACTGTGGAGCTGAGCAGCTGCATGCCCCTCGGTGGGCACTGCCAGTTGGAAGCAGCAATAAGTGGGAACCATTGAAAAAATAAATATTTGAGGATTAATTTCTCCCTGCATTGGTCCTAAGGCTCAGCTGTGCTGCTGCTTCTTATATACAACAATGGAATTTTTCCATACTTATGGTTAAGTGTATATATATTAGACTGTACAGGCAAAACATTCAAATTGGCAGTGCAGATTCAAACAGTATGCATGTAATATTTGTAACTGATGAAGGTCATTCACATACAAATATGCCTGATACTGTTATTTTGGACCAGCACAGGCAAAATTCCTGGGCACTTTTGAGACTGTTGTATGAGTAATTATATAATATCTAAGTGAATCACTAATTTAAAATTAAAAAAAAAAAAAATAGACACAACTAACTCTATACCCAGATACTTTAGAGTGGCTCATTGTATTTTGCTGCATTTATTTAGTCTCTTCAGTAACCAGCTCTGGCATATCTGAAAGTCTGGGGCACTGTTACAACAGCAGACCATGGATTGATGTTGCCTACTATAAATGGTAGATCTCCGTCACTGAACAGGAGGAGGGGGAAATACAGTGCTAATCCCTTCTTACTTGTTTTCACCATAGAGAAACTGGGGACAGTGATGGGCTGTGAAGGTCAGGGTTACCAGGGTAGGTTACCAGAACCTACATGTTGCCTTTCACAATTTTTTTTCTCAGAGAAAAGGTCCCATTCACTAAGCTTTAAATGAGCCAAGTATTTTGAGACATTTTGGAATCATCCAAAACCCGTCCACTCGAGTTCCTTGCTGGTTCCCAGGTTAAACAAAGGCAATAAAGAGTCTTAAAAACTCTGTTAACTCAGTTGTCTCTTCATATCCTCTATGCTTGTGATAATATAAATGTGTTTTCATGCTCTGTGACTTTCAGGTTTTCAGAAGTGCTGGACATTCACAATTCTGTAGACAACTGCTAAAAAGCATGCTGCCCACACTGTACAAGACTGCAACAGCACTATTCATTTGCTTGCAGAAAAGCAGTTTTCACATTCCATAGTGTTCAAAACACTGATTTGAACTTGTGGGATTATGCAAATATTTAGGTTAGGTATGCATTTAACTCCTCATTTAAATAAAGCTGATGAATGAATAGGGCAAACACTTTCAGTTATGAATTATAATAATAAAGAGTACAAGTCAGGAATAAAAGGTGCCATGTGCTTTTGAAACAGGTTTACACTTTTTTCTATGTCGTAGCATATTCTGATGCTGGAATTGCTGTAGTAGTTCAGTGCAGAGCCATTTCAAAAGAGTTTATATAGTTTGCTATATTTTTCCTAAAAAAATTCTTGCAGCCAGAAACTCTCAGTCATTGCACAGATGCTTTTTTTGTTCTGTTGCTATGCAAAAGAAATGGAGATGTTTCTATATCAAAATTGAGAAAAAGTGAAGCCTTCCTGGACTTTTTTTTTTTTTTTTTTTTTTTTTTTTTTTTTTTTTTTTTTTTTGTGGAAGATACATTTGATTATAAAAATTTGCTCAGGTCACATTGGCAGAGGCAAAAGCCCATTCTTTGCTTCTCCAGCAATAAATGGGCACAAACAGATAAAGCTGGACAAGGTGCACATATTGAATCATCTGTTTTGGTTGCTAATTTATTTTCACACTATGATCCAATCTAAGATTGATTATGACTACTCTTGTGCTATTTACATAGATTAAAAAAGGAATAGCTTTTCTTATAGTCTGCTGAAGAAATGATCCGAATGCCATTTAGCACCACTGTGTGGTTAGTACTGTAATAGCTTCCTCTCTCAGCAAAAGAGGGAAATTAGTGTCAGTAAACAGCGGAGAAAATGGCTGTAGGATAGTGCTGCATACAGATCTCCTTGAGGCTAAGAAGTATCACTCTATTAAGAATAGAATAATCAATTTCTTCTCTTGTCTGGAGCTATTTAATACAGTAATATTGGAGTTTATATTTATATGGTATCAGTCAACCTATCTGAATGTTTCAGCAAACTGTGGTGAGAATGAGCTACAAGAAGCAGAGTGACAGAAGAGACCATCTCCTTCATGCTGGAGTGCAGAGGCCTCAGGTGGGGAACAGACTAGTGCTCTCAGTTATAGAGGGAAAATGTGTCAGTCCCAGCAAGCTCCTGATTTTATTGATACTGATAATAAAATCTTTAATAATCGCACCCAACAGAAAAGGAAAACAGAAGAATACAAGCTTCACTGAACAGCTGGCCTGTTATTTATTAAACTAAGGATGAGTTTATAGGATAAGCCCATTTCATGTAGAAGCCTCTTAATTGACTCAGCATGGGCTAATCCAGAAATTGAGCAGGGTTTAAGTACTGAGTCTAGTTCAGACATTAGTTTACTAATCTGTGCAGAGTGACATTAAAACCCAGGAAAACATTGTTTCTGGGTTTCACCTGGCTTGATCCTACACTGCTGCATTATACTGGTCAGGCATCTCCATGTAGATCAGTGGAAGCTCACAGAACATCTGCATCTTAATTCTTGTAAGCCATGTAGCACTGCTAACTGATCAGGTGACAAAGCTGGATCCAAGAAATCACAGTATGTCAGAGAGGTCATACTACTGCATGGTGAGAAACAGTAACATTAGTGATGATAAAATAACAGAAACTGGGAGGATGATGAACAGACCCAGTAGCTGCAGGGAATGTATATGGAGTTTACGCTTCTTCTAACCTCAGGGGCCACTATTAAAAACCCTTTAATCAGTCAGCAAGTAGAAGTTTGACTTCAGACTAAGCTGTCTTGCTCATGGGACAGCCCATTTCTGTGGCACTGGGACACTGCTGTAAGAGTAGTCTGGCAGCATCTGCACACCACAACAGTGAGCCTAGGGCAGACTCCTGATGTCCCTCAGCCAGAACTCCATTACTGCTACTACTTGCTTTACTCACAAGACTGTACAGACTGCTCACTCCACCCTTTCATTCTCCAGAGGCCCTGTGTGTGCACCTCTCTCAGTGTTTGCATCAGCACTGTCTGCCTATAATCATAACTCACCACTTTGTGTGAGTGGGAATTTTGAGGAGGAAGAGCTGGAGGTACTAAGTCCTTGAGCTAAATCAGAAAGTGGTGATCTGGCTGCAGATGCAATCATAAAGACCATGGTAGCCACAGAGAAGAGTGACAGGGAGAATGAGGAAAGGGAGAACTTCAGTCTCTGCAGTCTGCAGATGCGGCTGTTTGGTTTGTATTTTCCTGGAACAGTGAAAGCACCTGCAGAAATGGGTAAGATGTTTGAAAGCAGCAAACAGCTGACCCCCTGACACTGGTCATCTTCTCCCCTTCTCCAGGTACAGAAGGTACGCCTGTTTTGCCTGCTTCCTGTCAAATCTTGAAACTCACTTCGTATTTGGTTAAATCTACAGCACTTACTGTAGATTTGGCCTACAAACTGTATTTTTTTACTGTGTGTTCTCATCTCTGTAGCTAATGAATGTTGCTGGTTGATCTGGAGCTTGCTTTAACAAACCAGCCTGCTCTATAATTTCAGTTATTTCCTTATGCTATATAAAATCCAGCGCAGAAGTGCAGTTACGGAAACATGTCTGTGCACAGCAAATATTCTGATGGCACCATTCCGCACAAGATGTAGACACTCAACCCATCTTGAAGGGGAAAGTGTTGCCAGGTTTTGAGAGGGCCACATACAACACAAAGATGTTCTACAATTGCACAATGCTAGTCTGAAGATAGGCCTGAGTTAATATACACTTCCTCTCAACCCAGTGCTACCATCCATGACTATCCATGAGGCTTACAGCCTCATCCCAAAATACAGCTTTTGCACCATTGTAGGTGTGGATAATGACAGCCTATATCACAAACAGTACTGTTGTATCTCGTAATTGTGGAGAAAAAGCAGGAACTTCTGAAGTTTCTGGTCCTGCTCCTTTGTGAAGCAGACCAATCTGACAGTATAGTTCTTTTCCCACCCTTGTCCTGCTTCTTGACAGAATTTTTTATATCTTTCAGCCCATTTCTTGTCTTTCAGTTCTTTAATTCTCTGTATATCTACATAATCTAACTAGCTATGTAGCTAGCCACTGATCTATCTAATATAAATTTAGATATGGAGACATCGTCTATATAGTAGCATTTAACTCTTACCTTGAATATGGGAAACATTAATATTTCAAAATATATTTATTTCCAACACAGAATTGTTTAGGTGCTTTCCTAGTCAGACTAAATAAGCCCATTCATGGCACTTTGAGAGTTGCAAGATAAAGTGATTTGTCAGTATGTGTTATTTGATTTGGGGCTTGGTTGAATGCCTTTGCTGCATACAGCTGTGTATATGCTGATAGTGCTTCACCGTGCAACTGTATAGAGCAGCTTGTACCTGCAACATAGGAGGAGACAGATAAGCACCAGTAGGGGGGCCAAGTACATCTATTCTGTCACTGGTACTTAGAATATAATTTAAAAATACTTCTCTAATTGTTGATTAGATCATAATGAATAAGACATTGCCTTAATATTAGAAAAAATGCTGTTTACTGTAGAAAAACTCATAACTTCTGTAAAATAAAAGCTTTATTGAAACTTAGCTTTTTGAATATAATTTTTTTAGAGGATTAAATATTTCCATTTGTTAGTTATTTAAAAAAAAAGACTCTATCAAGTAATTCCATGAAAATATAATTAATTGAAAGACATTTCAATAATATTAAAGGGATTTTTTTTTTTTTTTTCTGTTAAGAGTCACACATTCTGCTATGTTTGTAACCTTACTAGCATCTGGATATTAAATGACAATAGGACTAAGCACTGCCAGTCATTTATTATGTAACAGCAAAATATATTGGAGTGTTTTCTTTGTTTTGTTTTTGTTTTTTTTTTTTAAAAGGAGATGAAATATTGTGTGGACCACTCATTTCCTTCACAGATTTTACTAAAAAAATTAAAAAAAAAAATACAAAGAAATGCTATTTTTACATCTTTAAAGCCAAAAATAGAAAAGATCTTGTCTGAAAGCTAGGCAAACATTCAATTCTTGTGGTTTTAGGCAGTCTCTGGGCATATCAGGCAAATGCCAAAATTCGAGACTGACAATAGTTACCTATCTAGATGGTTCAACTGGGAAAAACTGGGAAGACCAGAACTGATCAGGAGATCGCAGCATTGACTGCCTATAAACACAATACATGAAAATTGTTTTTTGCTGCAAGACGTGTTGTACAAAATATTTTTCTTCTTTAAATTATATCCTAGGTTTACCATTTGCAATGCTTCCCATCTTTCCACAGACATTTCAGTTGCCGTTTAGCCTTACTTATATTAAAAGGTTAAATTCTGCTATTTTGTGGGAGTCTGTCACCAAATTCTTTCTCCAGTGATGGCTCAATGCTTTCAGCCTGTCTCTTCTTAATTTGAATACTGTCCGTGCTTTGATTGGCCTCATACTGTTTAACCTCTAACTATATATATATTCAGGCCCACAGAAGGACAGAAGGAGAGAATGGGTTGCTCTGAGGTTGCACTGGGAGAACATTTTCCTTCCTTGGGGTCACACTGTCTTTTCAAACATGTAGCATAGTGTTGCCCCATAATGCTCAGCAGAGAAAAGTAATGCAGCCACTTTATCCCTTTTTTGGATAGCTGTGCAGTAAAATCTGTCAGTCTGAGCACACCAATACACTGAATTGCTTGAAATCTTACTCCTTTCTGTCCATCCCCAAACAAGCACTCTGCTCCTCCTACATCATGGAAGTTGTGGCTGGGCACCAACCAAGGACTTTCTGCCTTGAAGAGTAACTCAGTGAGAGACATCCTGCAAGGAGGGCATGGATTATGGCTCTTTCCATCAGCACTTCTATCTGCATCTATACACATGCATGACAGGAACCAGTCTGAACAGTTCCAATGCAGTTTTGAGGGTATAAAAGATACATACAAGGCATGAGTTAGAATTACTACTAAATTGAGAGCTTAGATTTCTTGCTTTCTTTGCCTTGATCATTTATCTCTAGCTTAGTTCCCTCATACCTGGATTTTTCCCACTCCAGACTGGTTCTTTAAACTCCAGCTTTTCTCCCTTTAATAAATTTTTGAAAATGTGTTTACAATGTATATAAGCAGCTGGAGAAGAGTTTGGGTGGGAAGGTTTAGATTGTTTGGAGTGGATCATTTTGGCAATGCATAACAGTGAACGTGAGTAGTACAGAAATTGAAGAAGGAGCGTGACAACAGTTTGGCTAATGAAACACCATATTCATTTTATAGTGAAGGCAGCTTAGGGTTTCATAACTGGGGCACAGTATCTTCTGTGTTTAACTTTGTCTTTCTTCTCAGGTTTAGTTTCATCTTCTTTCTATCAGTCCAGTCATGAAGTTGCAATTCATACTGGCTACTGTTGTCTGTAGGAGGACGGTTGCATGTGGTAGTGGATTGCTTAGTAGTACTTGGCTTTCAAGACTGAATATTTATATGGCATATAGACTTGGATGGCTAATTTTAAATCCTCAGCTCAGAAAAGACTGACCATCTAGTCTATTAAAATTATAAAGTCTTTTATAAAGTTTTAAAATCATTATGCTAGCTATTCAAATAATGTAAGTGAAGGTAACTAATTTGATTTTAATGGAGTTACTTCAATTTATGCTAACCAGTTATCTGGCCAGTTATGTCCTGTTGTGATAGAGGACAGAAGATGGCAGAATTTAAGTCTATTCTGATTGTGACAAATGACTGAAAACACCATGGTAATGATGGCTGGGAAAAAAAAAAAATGGCAGGCATCGAAATATTCTTGCTCATACACTTGTGATCCTACTCTCTTTTCCAGATAGCACATTCTTTCCCATTAGAAAATTTCCAACTTGACAATTATAGGCAGAGGCCACTAGGTGCCAGTGTTAGCCAGACAGCAGCAAAAAACTTGTCAGTAACATTAAAAACAACATTAAAGCCAATGCAGATAATCCTTTCAACTGAAAATAAAGCTTCTGTATCTTTTAAACTACATAAGACTTCATTAAGGCTTTTGAGATGATTACTTTCTAAAACCAAAGTCACTAAATTGATGTCCATCAACAGAAACCCAAACCAAAACAATCTGGTTGCAGGATGTGTCTCCATCAAAGACACGGACAGGTACGGAATGCTGGGATGCTGCCTGTTACACCTTGTGGGATACACCCAGCATCATAAGGCAGAGTCAAAGTCCACAGTTTTCAAAGTACATGGGACTCAAATAAACTACATGAATAGCAGTTCACTGCTAACAGACATTTTACAGGAAAAACTTGGTTCAGATCAAGTTTGAATTCACATTGAAAGCCATACCTGGTTTAGTTTGACCCACTAATATGTATCTGTGTTTGTTTGGGCTCATTTTTATCATTGTCATGGTCCTCTGAAAGCTTTCCCTGCTAAAAGAAATTAAAATCTTGCATTTAAAGAACTGGATCATCAAGAGGCAGCTAGTTGCCTGTGCACAGGAATTTGTGAATGCAAATTTCTGGCTAACCTGCACACAGCTCATTTGCAAGAGATAAATCTCACTCATGTTGCTTCATACATGTACAGTGTAACTCTTTACATCCATGCCAGTCATCCTGACTTTTTTTCATGTGGAAAAACAGTAATTTCCTGGGTATGAATCATCTGGTCTATTTCAGAAACCACCTTTTCATTAGATGAACTATAAAAGAAGTTTACATGAATAGCTCAGGAGCTGAAGTTTACATTGAAGGCATCTAGAGTTATGTAAGATTAATCCTACCAAAGTGATTTTCAATGTTAAATTTTTAGTCAAATCTGATGTTTTGCTTTTGTACTTTCTACAGCCACTAGACTTTGAAACAAAAAAGGCATACACCTTTAAAGTCGAGGCCTCCAATCTCCATCTTGACCATCGATTTCACTCGGTGGGTCCATTCAAAGATACTGCCACTGTGAAGATAAACGTGTTGGACATGGAGGAACCACCCGTTTTCAGCAAGCCTGTGTACACCATGGAGGTTTATGAGGATACACCTGTAGGGACCATTATAGGTGCAGTGACAGCCCAAGACCTTGATGCTGGCAGTAGCTTGATCAGGTAAGAAAGCTTTTCCTCCTTCAGTAACTCTCAGACAACCAAAGTGCTGCTGACAGTGAGACTCAATGGAAAAGAGCTTAGTAAGAAGATATAAAATGTTCCAAGTCTGTCAGTGTAAAAGATAACTGATGCTCTGAAAAATATTGAAAGGAGTTGCTAGCTTGGAAAGGTTATCTGGAAAAATACAGTAAATGCTGACAGCGTCTTATCTTAGTGATCACATAAGTTACCGTGCGCTGACATGACTTCAGAGATGGTGTGCTCAGACTAAGGAAGAAAAAACATTGTTTTGCCTGATGTCTGGGGCTTTTACAAAAGCAGCTCTGAAGTGCAATAGTGAAAAAGGAGGTTTTATGTGCTGTGTCTGTGTTATACCTCACTGGGTGACAGTGAGCACTATCCCTTTCACAAGAACCACTTACTCTCTATAGCTGGCAAAGAACAGATGCCTTGATAAATGATTGCTACATCTGTCTTGGATAAGGCTGTGGGGATGTGAGTGCTGACCAATATGGCTGTGTTCAGCAGACTTCAACATAAGTAAACCTCTGCCAGCAAAATCTCTCATTTACTGGTAGAATTCATTTTCCGGAAATAAAAGGGAAAGGGGAGCTATTATACAAATGTAATACATTGATTTTCCTGATGTATTTCCAGCCACATTAAAAAATATAATGTGAACCAGACTCATTTAGCAATAAAAAAGGTCCTGTGCAGACACAGTCTAAGATGTAGGCAGACATTACACATAATTCCAGTATCAATTCATCCTGGACCTAACTGACTTCAGGAAATATTTTTATTCTCAGACTTTCATTAGAAATATTGCAGATATAATGGATATCATCAATCTTTAACTATTAATGTTTATCAAGTGAGACTATGATGGAACAGGAAGATGCCACTAGTGTCTACCAAGTGCATAGACGTTCATGTATATTTATCTACAAATTCAATTTGGACTTTTTAACTGATGTTTATTAACTATATGCATTTTGACTCAGCACTTCTCAAAATGCACAGTAAGCATGCCAGATTCTACCTTGTCATCATAAGCAAAAACTTAACATGTGTAACAGTGACTGTTTAGCTCCTGCTTTGCCAATTCACAACTATTGCTTAAAACTATTAGTAATGTTGTTTGTTTCATTGTTGCCTTTTTTTTTTTTTTTTTTAAATACATTCTTTATTCTTTTTTATACAGAAGTGTATTTGTTCATGAATCTGTGACACTTTCCTTCCCTGGCAAAGGATCAAAACCTTCACTAACAAAGACTGAAGTGGGAACCTGTTTCCCTGGTGGTAGCCTGTGAAAATAGCCCCACTAAAGTCAGTATTCTGTTGAAAACCATACTCTTTTGCAACCAGACAGCAAGCCTGTAATCATATTGTTGAGCAGTTTTTCATATGACAGCAGAATCATTTTAATGTATAACCACTCCTCAGTGATGCTTTTTTATTTTGCAAACCCTCTTAGGAGACTCAAGTGCTTTGGTTATTGATCTTACCTTTGCAACTACACAAAAAAAAAAAAAAAAAAAAAAAATTGTCTCATGATAGTTTCTTCATACATTGTGCTCTCTGTAATATTGAATCCTAGGCTGTTTTAAGGTGCCCATGTCTACATTTTTTAACCCTGAAATCTTTCCCAGAGTGTCCAAATGCCTATCTACAGTTAAAAGATCAGGAATATTATAAAATAGCCTTACATTTTAGTCTCAATGCTCTACTTGCTGACCTCTCACACCAACAAACTACAGAAGTGCTCCCAGGGTCACTTTTTATGAACCAATTCAGCTGGTTCATGCCTGGGGAAAAATATTAACTGTGTCCCAGTGTTACCACTTTGTCAGAGGAACCCATTCCTATCCAGAAATAAGCCACACATTGAATTCAGTGGACTTTGGAGGGACACACTTTTCGTTAAGGAGAGGAATGTTTTTCAGTAAGACAGCGGATATGTTGAGAAGATAAAGCTGGAAACTTCCCCATGCAGCTCTCTTCTGGCTTTGTAAGATCACTTATGTCAGTTAGTGATCATAGCGCTCATGAAAACTTACCAGTTTTCATGTTTCAGTCCTATATTTTCTTCCTTGGCTTTCATTTACCTGAGGATATATTTGATTCCCTGTATTCATCTTGATCTCCATCTCTTTGAATTCAATGATAAAATTATTACTATTTTATCAGAAATCTGACAATGCTTTTGTGCTCTGGAAGAACTTACTTGTATCCAAATGCTGATGAGTACAAGTAGAAAAAGATTATATACAATTGTTAGTTACTGATATATGTGATCAATATTCCATAAGTTTTATATCCTCTAACTGAAAAACAAAACAAAACAAACAAACAAACAACTATGTAGCCAGAAGTTAGAAATGCAGAAATTATTCTGGAAGAGTTGCATCTGATTACAACTTCTTAATAAATCTTAACCAGTTACACTCT